CTTTGAAAATTTAAGAACGTTTAGTAGCTAAATCAAGTTAATTGAGTTAAAGTGTTTCATACTGAATAATTGTGTTTAGACAAATTTTATATTCTAATAAATATCTAATATATTGAGCCCTTTAGAAGTAAACCATTTCAAAATATCAACACAGGGAAGTTTAATTAAGATATCCCGAAGAATGGAATAGTGTATTCATAAAGTAAGAAAACTGATCGACAAATATTTTGTAATTTGAAATCTAATGGATAATATATTCAATATGCACAACAAAATGTGGACAAATTCCGATAAGAGATAACATGTATCACAATTTTCCCTTTTACTCTTTATAATTAACTTTTACGAACTTTACCTAGTTGAATAGTAGCTTTTTTAATCTAAAATAAAAGATAAGCATTAGCTGAAAAGTTCTACACAGAATATTATATGGTATATATATAGTCGGCGTTTATTTGATGGGTATTTTGAATTCGATAACTGGAATATTTGCGTGATGAAAACTTGAAACTGTTTTCATTGTAGAATACTTCATTAAAAGATCGATTAATATTGACTGCACTCGCCCTTAATTCAAATATTATGGATGGAAAATTATAAAATTTCAGTAAACCTTGAAAAACAAGAAATAACGTCTCCAGTATATTCATCTTTTATAATATTGACTATCAGATATTAATACTTCCATACTGATCTAGTTCATATCAAAGAATTCAATCTCATATTTACTGCAAAATGGTCATAATTTATCATTTCTGGAATCATAATCTGTTTCAAATAATCGCCTTACCTTGTTATTGACTACCTTCAAAATAACGATATTTTCTAATATAAAGTTTACGTGGGATAGGTCTGTAGACTATAACAAAACTAAACATATTTTCTTTAATGTGACTTACTTTAAAACTTAGGAGCATTAATTTTATTGAAATATACTACTGAACACTTTGAGTTGCATTTCATTTCATAAAGACGCATTCTAAATTCATGAGTACAGACTATCTGTCTACATTGACAACAATATTACAAAAAGCAGACTCATAATTGATGATGGAAAAATGAGAACAATTTTGATGCAAGGAGAGACCAACATTATTAATAGAACACAATGAATACATTGTATTTTAGTTACGCTGTCTTCAGCTACATAGAAACTATTAAATTTTAGTTAGGAATAATATAAATTGAAATTTCAAGAAATAAATTTCCTATTAATAAGGAATTTTATTTGGAATGTAAATGAAGTCAAGAATTGAAGTTTTCAAAGGCTTTTCATAAGTGTTTGGAGAGACGTTTTTTTAGTTTAAGATCACAAAACCGTTGTAGTCACTGAGAAATATGTAGGTAAGATTATTCTCAATAAAGCATTCAAATGCCTGTCTTTTTATCTTTCTAATATGTATGCATTATCATTAACATGTGAGATAGGTTAAACACTTCGATGATGTAATTGCTAAAAGTTTATAATACAACTAGATGAACATTATCAAGAGTCATTTAAGATAATTCTGAAATCGCAGAACACATGGAACATATCGTAAATCGAAAGAGTAACTCTGAGGGAAACAGATATCTCTTGAAATATTTTATAATACAAAACATCTTTATGAATATGTTCAAACAATTCTGTATAGTATTTTAAATGCATTATTCTTTACTTGAATTATTAGCTACTATAATAGAAACTGATCAGTATATATACCTATCAACCCGAAATTGTAAGTTATATAAATTACTCATGAAAGTATTTACTTCCATCGATAGAATGAACGAATGTATGTTTCATATGAAATACTATTGTTGACTACATTTTTATTATGATTTTCTCATTTCCATAATGTGAATGATATCTGTATTTTTCTGCAAAAATTATATCTTCATTTTATACCGAATAATTCTTTATAACCTATTGACTATGACTAATGTCATCAAATAAACGAAATATTTTGAAATCTAAGCAAGAAAAAATATCTGGCAAAGATATCAGTGTACTTATATAGCCACAATGTAAGCTAACCTTAATTGTTTCAAAACAGATTCGATGAAATTACCCGTTTTTTGTTCACAATCGTTTTTATATTTAGCGGAAGAGAAGTACATATCAACAACCATACAATATATAGACAGAAAAAGGAATTCACATTGTAAAACTAACATTGGTAATTCTAGACAGAATACATTTGATTGCCAGTCATTTTATAATTTTGTATTTTCTTTTATCTACAATATTATCTTGAGGTAAATCTATAAACATTTCAAACGTTTTACCGACAAAACAAAATAAACGACAATTTGTATTTATTCCCTACATCATAAATACTTATCTCGGTATTACACAACGTATCATATTCATCATACGTTTTTCCAGAAAAATACAAAGAGGTATGTTACTAAGATCGATTTATATATATATATATATATATATATATATATATATATAATCCAATTGAAGAGTAATCCTTTTAACTTTATTAATATAGAGTACGAACATACACAGTTGATTAAGCACGTTCATTATTTAAATTCATATCATTATAATATTTTATAATTTAGGAATTTATCTAGATTAGTAAAGTAACGAAGCTGTTTATGTATAGAGGGTTTTGTAGTACGACTTTTTATTGACTAATCAATAGAAATATTAAAATAAACGAATGAACAATGTTTTTTTTTAAAAAAGATATTTGGTTCCATGATACCATGTAAATTTGCAAAATATAATGTAAAAGTAATAATAATGCCCATAGACATATGAAGTTCCAAAAAAATTCTTTCTTAAATAACATCACTTAGAATGAACATTATTATACCTGCATATTATTTGTTTTGATCAGTGTTTTACTTTCAGAGTTTCACATATGCATATCAATTTTAAACTATTAAATTTAATTTATATTTAGTTAGAATCATATTTCTACCATCTGATAATATTTTCTTACTTGTTTTCAATTAAATAAAGCCAGAACGAACATGGATGCAGAATAATATGAATTCATTATATTTCATGGTTTCACATCAGATGCTTACAACCAAATATGTATTAAAATTTTACATTGAGGTAAGATATAGCGTGAAACAATTGACATAAGTGAATGTAAAGAATTGGAATAACAATGGTTCTCAATAATAACTACATACATGTGTACAAGAACAGGTCGGAGGTCATTCGGTGTTAGAATCAAAAAAGCATGAGGGGTGGGTGATCTAATGTTCATAGCTTCTATAATTTGCACTTCTTTGTATAACCAGTCGAAAGTTCATACTATATGGCAATCACTAATTAAAACTTATTCGTAGCATATATCATGATATTTCAATGTGAACGTTTAATCGTTATGATATGCTTAACATTAATTTCTAAATATTCATTAGTTGACCTAGTAATTTCATTTTGAATGATCAAAATTGTTTCGCAAACAAAATAAACAAATTTTTATATTAAACTAAAATCATCAGTTATTTAAAATTCAATGGAAATATTGTGTCTTTTTCAGTGTTCTATTTTATGACTGAAATTAATTTTTGCTTTATTTAAAAAAAAAACGCGAATTCGTTCCTTGACATTTCAACATAACCGTAGTACGATCATTCATATAATCTAGTTAATTACTTTGCTTATCCAATATTTGTTGCATTCATACTTTTTATTACTAAGTACAAAGTTAATTAGTCTCTATTATTTCGTTTCCGATTACAAATAACCATAGATTGATTCATATCTTACTTTAAAACAAATATATATATATATATATATATATATATATATATATATATATATATATATATATATATATATATATATATATATATATATATATATATATGTCTAGTCCAAAATACTTTTGATATACGGATTTCACATATGCAATTACTTTTTGATGATAAAATATTGTATATTCAATGGTAAAACTTATGATCTGAAGTAATATTTATGTGTCAACATGTAACACTTTGATTTAGACAATGATATTTTATCAGAAGGGGTTTTGTGGAGATTTTATAAATTCCACTGATTGAAATCATGAGTCAATTGAATTTAGATCACCATGAAAAACCTAGAGCCACTGTACGGCCGTTTCGTCTTAGCATGGGACTACTGAGCAGTGCGCATCCACGATCGCGCACCCCGTGAGATTTGAACCCACGATCTATCAGTTTATTAATAATCATGTGCTCGCTAGTGACTGACTTTAGAGGCATATCCTGGAATTATAGTGATAAGCGGTGACCAGTGGAGTTCAACCAGGTCTGTTGTGAGATATAAACTCACTGAAGACAATGGTGTACGATCGTGCAACTTTGTGGATTGCTTGAAGTTAGACATTAACACCGTTGGATGCCGGCTAAGTGGTATAGTTGGTTAAGCGCCTGGTGCGAGACTGATAGATCCTGTGTTCGAAGCCCGCGAGGTGGGGTCGTGGATGCGCACTACTGAGGAGTCCCACAATGGAACGAAACGGCCGTCTAGTGCTTCCAGGTTTTCCATAGTAGTCTATCTTCAATTGACTCATGATTTCAATCAATGATATTTTATACATATTTTATACTTACACAGATATTTTTCAAGTAAGACATATTTTATTAAAAATGAACGTGAACATGTATTTTCAAATGTTATAAGGTTTTTATTGCTAAGCTAAAAATTTCCATACCTTACGATCGAAGATAATCCAATCTATGAGCAATGAGAGAAGTTAATTCGTTGTCTTTCACAATAATGAGTAACCATGTTTTTAATTGACTGATCAAACTGTTAAACTTTATCTTTAATCAAGGATTATTATGTTGTAAGTAAGATATGAATGAAACATACTTAATTGTTTCAAAAATCACATTCCAAATAACTAGAGGGTTTGACGTAAATTACATTTAAACAGTGATTTAGTACAAGTTCTAGATCTCACTATTCATTTAGTTTCATAATTAATACCTCAATAATGAAAGTAATAAACTTTAAAAAAACGTTACATCATTAAACATTTAATAAATTTAAAACTTACAATTTATTATTAATATCCCACGTGATAATATGATCTTGAAACATGGAATAATTCATTTTTAAACAGAAAAGTAAAATAAATTTCCACAATAAATCCTTTTTCATTTAGATAATCACTGACATACATAAAATAATTTATCAAAGAATATAAACCTAATTGTTTCTTTTCATATTTATAAATAGAATAGGGATTGAATAGATTTTCTTTTTATTACCATCAATAAGTGGATAGAAACAAATCCTTAAACTTTGATAGAAAATCATAATTGAAATATTTAATTTTATTCTATCATTATCATTATTATTCTTATCACTAGTTGCTAGTTATTATTGCCATTAAACATTTAATGACTAAAGAATGTTAAAATAGTGTTTTTATAATCAATTTATTAGGATAATTCCTTGTTCTTAATTTATCATATTGTTTGTTCAAGGTGAACAAAATAAACCAATCAGTGTAGCGGAAGAATTTTAGTCAGAATTGTTAACTTAAATATGATTGGTCAAATTTATGAACAAGCTCAAACGTAAAATCTGTTTGCTTAAATCATGTATTTTTACTTGTTTTTTTTTGATTGAAAATCTTCTCTATACACCAATTCCTCCAAATGAAGAGATTTTCCAGTCACAGTATACAACTGTATAGAATTTCACTCGTATTAGATGTTTAACTTTATGATAGGAAAAGTTTCACATTGTTTAGAATAAATATGCTAATTCAAAAATATATTTATTTTATTTTGAAAAAAGTGACATGAGAAATAATTTGAATCCCAGTTGAAACCGATTATTTTATTGTCTAACAAATCAGTCTTTAACAAATGAAACAATCTAAAGATTTACTGACTGTTAAGAAAATAAAACTTCGTACTTCTTTCCCATAAAACAATTCTAATTGTACTGTAATATTAAATCAAATACGATAACCTATTCAATTGAATTGATGAATTCTGGTTTGAAATTTTATTTGTTTTGATGTTTACTTGAAATTGTTTCAGTCAACCATTGTTAAGATATCAATCAGCGTAGTGCGAATAGATACAGTAATAAAATTATTGCAGAAAGTTTCTTAAATGTTACTATTATAAAGATGTTAAAGAACTAATCTATTCAGCTAATGAACAAGTTAAATGATCCCAAAGAATTTTGAATGGCATTCAGAAAGATTCGATTGATAGATTCAGAAGTTTAATATCGAGTTTGAGTAAAGCGTTAATGCGTCGAAGTGACAGTTTTCATATGAAAACATGCATAAAGTATTTTCATAAAAACCAAAGTACAATTTATTCTGTATTATTTAATGATGATCCAAACTTTGATACAAACATCATTTTGTATGTTTGTTTAGTATTGCTATTGTGATCGGTTTATTCAATAAGATATAAACTAATGAACAAACACCATTGTAAAAAAAAATTATTTGAGAAATAATCATTTAATTGATTGTAAAATGAAACATGATTGTTATGAGTGTTAGTAACAGTTAACTCGTCTTTTATATTTTTGTATGCATATGTATATGACATGTTTCAAAAAAAACAATTTAGAAAATAAATTCACATGAAGCTAAGCTTGTGTAGTATCAGTTAGTATGCTAAGCCCATATAACGTATTCAACCTTCTGGATAGACCAATTTATCTATTCTTCTTGAGTCAAGTTTTGACCATGTTAATTATTTGATTACCTACCTTAACTGTGTTTATATGAGTGTGTGTGTGTAGATATATTTTATCCTACTCATCACATGTCTGTAACGTATTTTTGTGTAACCATAAATATTGATTAACGCTTGAATAAATGGAGTTTACTCATACGCTTTATCCACTGCGCGTCATTTCACTTCGTTTTACTCTATTTTCTTCGCTTCATTTGGTGCGATTCTTTGATTGTCTGTTCCGACTGACGAGTGTACAAAATATACATACTCAAACATTCATTCTCGTATTTGACATATTTAATTCTGTTCTACATTAAAGTGGACTAAGTCGATAATAATATACAAGGATTGGCGATATACGATCCAACTAGAGTCAGATCCCAGGGTCACTAAATTGGTGAACCCGTCTATAGCATCGTCTGATCTAAATGAAGGACCAATAAACTCTGGTCCATTTTCTAATCAATTCTACATTATTCAAAATCACAATATATTTTCTAATAAATTGTGTTTTACTTTAATCTAAATGTTTCACAATTACATAAGACACATTGTTATATTATGAAAATTCTTTTAGAAACCATTTTAATAATGATGAAGTAATAGAAATAATATTTTTATACTTATTCTGTGATGATGAGTGAAATAATAACAAACATAAGTTAATTGTAATGATATAGTCAATGTAAATAAAACGTGTAATACTGTTTACAGTGATTATCAATTACGTTTAACTAACGGTAGTATTATTAAAGACTAATGCATTTAAAACTTCCATCGATAAATAAAATTTCATTCGTATAGACTGAAATGAAATTTAACAGGAATAGACTGTTTGTTTTAAACATTTATTTCCATAACTAAATAAAGAGTGACTTGATAAGATTTCTCTTAAATTATTAAACAATCTACTTAGTAACCGAACCATTTTGTAATATGCTTATCCAGAGGAAATGACTTAAAGTTTTATTCTCTTTATATAGAATGTATATAACCATTCTTGTTTATTCTTCAGAGGAGTACCTTTTTGCCAAACTTGTACAACTATTCACATAGTCTTGCTTTACTTGTATCTTCCCATTGTTATTTAGGACTGCAATTGAAAATTCTCATGTTGGCATATGTTCAGCCTGTGAGGATTACCTTGATATAACCTTAAGTCACAAACATTTGAAGCAAGGATGGATGGTGGCTAGCATTTGGATGTACCTGCATCCCATATTTGATATTCACCCCGGGACTCCAATCCAGTGTCATTCGCTTCAGATTGCAGTATACACATATGCCAACAAGAGACTGATCGATTGCAGTCCTAAATAACAATGGGAAGATACAAGTAAAACAACAGCAATTGGATTTAAACTGATCGGATTGCACAAGAAGGTGGCTATCAGGACTTAGTAGCTAAGTGGATAACATGAAGGTGTTTGAAGTGAACGGTACGGGGTTCAAGTCCCGGAGTGAACATCAACTTTGGAATGCAAGTATATCCAGCTGACAAGTCCCAAATAGGGCGAAACGCGAGTCCTGGATTCCACGGCTAGTCACTATCCATCTTGTGAAACTATGTTTCTATCTTCCTTTTCTATCAAAATATTGATTGCATATTTTTTTCAAAGTTAAACTTAATGAAGTTTATACAAATGCTTCATCCTACTTCTTTTTCTGATTTAATTATAAATCTTTGGATAATTTCATTTTCAAACTGTAAAATCAAAATGTATTTGATTTTTCTTTTAGACGCAAGATTGTTCTGATTTTTTTTCAACTAATAGTCTGATATATTTCTTGAGTTAAGTTAAATAAATGTCTGATAAAAGAAAAACTTAGTTACTTTTGTTTGATTGTCAAATTTGTTTATCCTTATGATTGAAAAAAAGACCCCCGGTAAGAAAACATTCAGATGAATTTAATTTCATTGTACAACTTAATGTTCCTTTCAGTTATGTACTTTTATTAGACGTTTCAATGTATTATAGATAGGCTTTCATTTGAATAATACATTTTATATGAAGAACATTATGAATTAGGTAAGTATAAGAAGAGTTTGTTTAAATTCATTTTTGAAATCTAGGCAACTTAATTTTAAACGCATTCAAATGATATAAAAAACTATATTGGTAATTACCATGAACAAAGTTAAATCAATAAAACACGACATACAAGTTCAAGAAATGATTTATTTTTTAGCTTTATTTCATTTTGCGTAGTTACAATGTTTATTGTCTATTACGGTGTAACATGCTGTTTCATAAATTTGTTTTGTTTTTGATAAACAGATTGGAATTTAAAGTTGTTGTTATGTAATTTACAATTTCCCTACACTTTTGAAAAAAAGGATTTTATATGAAATCATAACTTGCCATTATCAAGCACATGAGTACATAATAAACGAAGATCCATAATGATGCCAAACTAACAAAATTTATTGTCAACCCGTGATTTTATAAATGAAGTCATGATACAGAAAAAAACGTTAAATGAAAGATATGACTTTTTTTCCTGAGAACGCTCAAGAGTTCACTTTTTCATTGTAATTAAAAGACTAAATCATTAATAAAGATGGTAATGTTTAGTTTAAGTTCAGGTGAAAAAATCAAAATGCATATTCTTGAAATTAACTGTTTATTTGCAACTCTCATTCAATAAATATGAGCCATACTTTCTCATCTGTCCTGTGTCAGTACTTTGACTGATTAAAAAAACCCATTTTTTAGAAACAATAATTCTTCTGAATGAATAATACCGTTGTCAATAATTTCCTATCAGCTTCTTATTATTAATGGCTTTATTGAATGTTAGATTTTTGGTACAATATAGAAATCGCAGCACAAAGTATTTCAACAAGTTCCCGTTTCTTATTTCTTTGTTGATCTTAACAATAAACAATGAGGTTTCCCTAGTTATATCTTAGTAGTTCAGGAATCGACATCTGAATAATGTTCATGCTGTTCAATACCTACTGTCAACCATCACGATATCTCTGATTGTACCTTATTGTAACTTGTACAGTTAAGGGACTTAAACTTTTCACAAACGCAACTGAATAGGTTATGCGATTATTAGACATAATGATTTGTTAAAATAAACAAAAAGCAGAAAACGTGTTAAAATATCTAGATGACAGGAACAGTTAGTCCATATATTCAAGCAAGCCGCCAACAGGTCCTCAGTTACCCATTTAAACTGGGGTACCGAAAATAGATAGCTTTTTTAAGAGAAATGCAGCATTTAAAAATTTCAGTTAGTGTATTGATTATTGTTAGTAGAATGAATTAAAGTTGGTTTTGACTAGTAAATAATCATAACTTGGATAATTTTATAAATAAAATAAAACTATAAGAATTGAAATCATAGTATATATAGACAACATCGGGTAAAAGGAATAATGTAATTTCAAGTCAGACAAGATGTTTGATTGAAGATTATGTACTATGTAGAATAACAAGAACATAATAAGGAAAAGTAATGTGATATTTGTACTAATTGAGTTCTTCATCCGTTCAAGAGAGTGATAGTCATAATAATACCATTATGATATTTGAATACGATAAATTTAAGTTTTGATAATACATGGAGGAAGATTGTAATTATTAAGTCCTTTTATAATAAAAAGGA